AATAATCATCCTAGATGAGCCCTTCAATCTAATGCTTTAATTCAAAGCAGTCTAAAGTCTCGTGGCCATCACTCCAGTGGTACTAGCAGAACTTGCCCTTGTCGCACTTCTTAGGGTCACCCCTAATCTTATAAGGCAGAGAAAGGAGTTTCTCCATACCACTGTCCTTAATATTCATAAGGATGACGGAAATTAAAACAGTAGTTGGAGTAACTTCTCATGTGAGCGCCCTTTGCTCGATCCAGAATCCGACCTTCTATAATCAAAGTCTGATCTTCTATAATCAGAAGGACCTTGAGGTGATGACGTTTGGTCGAAGCGCTTGTCTTTGGACTTTGAGTTGTCCTTTTCTGATCGATCATACTTTTTATGCTCGGACTTGGAGTCTGGTTGCTCATTCTTTGATCTGAGCAACTCTTGCTCAGTGATGACTTTCTTCTCCTTTTGAAGAGATCAGTGAACAAAACTAGGGCATATTCCCCCAATTGAATGGTCAGAGCATCGTCAGTGAAGCCTGTCAGAAAGTAACACATGATTGAGTCATCCATGTTTTGTTTTGATTTTTTTTTTTTTTTGCCTCTTTAAATTCTATTTCAACTTCTTGGTTGGTTTTGATTTTCCGGATTTTTTTTAATGTTCTTTTCCATTCTACCATTCTATTTTATTTTTTTTATCCAAAACCTTATGCACCATAAGGTTTTGTTTTGATATATTGATTTTTTTTACTTTGTTTTGCCCTTTGAAATTCTATTTTATTTTGTAGGTTCTGTTATTCTTTTTATATCTTTTTTTTTCCTTTAATTCTATTTCAATGCCACATGATTTTACATCTAAGAGGTTGAGAGCATAAAGAGATTTATCATTATCATTTAATAGTGTTTAATTATATAATTTATAGTATATATAAAAGCTTTCATCCGGATAAATTTTTCTTGTCTTTTTTGCCCTTCATTTTTTATCCTTTTCAATATGGAGATAAAATAGTCCTTTTACACGCAACTATTAAATTTCTTACAATTACGTGACACAATAACACAATAAATAAAAACAATCCTACCTCAAATTCCAATATTGGAATTAAATTTTCGAGTCAAATTTGAATATGGTGTTCCATAAATTTCGCCATTAAAAAACAAAATGGTCATGAATTTCATTTGTGCAATGCAATAAAAAGGCTCAAATTAATTACAAAATTCTCACCGTTAATCAATTATTCACAAATATCCCCATAAATCTATCCCTTATTTATTCCACTATTTAATCAAATTCAAGTAAACATAAAAACTCCATAAATCTCTCCTATTTCTTCCACCATTTAATCAAATTCGAGTGATCTCATTGTCTGAATTTCCATCACCAAACAAAAATTCATTCTCTCTCTACTCTCTCTCCTCTTCTTATTCTCTGCCACGCCGATTATGGCTTCACCTTCGTACTGATCTATCGAGATTCGCTCAATTCTCTAATGTTCAACCCTTCGGAGACCAACTATCACCGCCTCACCAATGCCCTCCACCGCTCCATCTGGCGCAGTCGATTATTTACTCTTTAATGGTTTTAAAATGTTCCCATCATCGATCATAGATTTGATCGATTTACTCTAATTTATGATGTATTGTTCTTCTTAAACTATGAATATGGTATCACCAAACACCTTAGGTAAAGGTATAAGGAAAAAAAAATTGTGTTACTGGCACATGAGGTTTTGGCCCTCCTCTTTTTTTTGGACAAATAAAAAATGAAAATAAAATTTTCTATCCTATTATGCATGTTACTTTTAAGAACCAACTGTATTTTATTTTTGAAAAATTTTATATGAGTAAAACTTTGTGCGTCAATTTTGTCCTTCAATTTTTTACTTGCAGGTTCATTTTGTCCTTAATGTTTCATCTTATTTTTTTTCATTTATGCCATAATGTCTCTGCACATTTCAAATAAAACTATAAATTTTCACGTGGGATAATATGCATCGCACGCGTTTCTTATTAGAATTATTATTGATCAGTAATAATAATAATGTTATTCCTTTTAATTCGATATTTACAATAATCTCAATTTATGTATTTTTATAAAACTTTTCATAAATATTAAGTGAGCTTCATACACATCTACGTAAACAATATTAAGTACCTTAATTGAAAAATAAAATAAATATGAAAACTTATCGCTTAATCTCTCTTCACATTCTCACGTCCAAAATTTTTATATATATAATCTTTTCATTCTAAGAATTAGAGAAGTAAAATTAGATTAAAACTATAAAAGATTGTGTAATTTTTATATATGACAAACTAAGTTCTGTCATCTTCCTTCTATCCCTAAATATTTCCATATTCATGTAACTTGCTTAGATTAAAAAAACTTAAAATATAACGTGAAAGGACGAGCTAAAATATTAATCTATATCTATATCTATATCTATACTATATATAAATGGGGTTATGGAGGAGAATCTTTGCCTTCCATTTTTGCCCTCCACTTTTTAATAAATACCTATTTTACCTTTGAAACTTATGTAGGATGCAACTGTTCGGTCGAGGTATCTGTTGAGAGAAGTGATGTGTTCATTCACATATAGGTGCGATTGAGATTGATAATTGTTTATATATAATATAATAGACCGATGTATTTTTTTATATAGATAAGTTAATCCAAGAGATGTGATTGATGAAATGATATATCCATTCCCAAATAGGTGTGATTACAAACATCTATATAACATGAAAGAAAACACCATGCATAAAATTGTGTATTTTTTCTCTCTCCAAATATTTATGAAGGCTTTTCTCTTGCAATGAAAATTAAAAATTTTCGTTATTTGCAAGAGAAACACTAAAGATCCAAGAATCCATAAGTTTATTTGATTTGATGATGAGGTAGAGTATAAAATAACATTTTTATATTAATATATTAATGATTTATTTTAGTTTATTAATGTTCGTATTCTTGGTAATATAGACTCTTGATTGTTGTTCTATATGTCTTAACTACTTTTAAATTTCCTATTTCATGTTTATGTCTTTATTAACTAACTTGAGTACTTAACCATGAATATTTATTACTTAATTTGTTGAATTAATTATTTACATATTAGATTATTGTATTAGTTTTCATATTATAAGGTTTTTGTTTTCCTATTTTGCCATTTAAATTTTTAAAAATTTATTGACAAGAGCAAATTATTCAGGTAAATATGTTCGTTGAGAGAAGTTAATCCATTGGTTACATAAAAGAAGAGTGTTATCATCCCCATATGGTGTGATACTGACTACGATATGAAACATCACAATCAAATGGTAGAGATGTATCTATGGAGGACAATGTATGTTTCTTATTTTGCCTTTTAAGTTTTCGTAAATTCATATTTTAGTTTTTTAAACATCATTTTTAATATATTTGAAAAACAAACATTTAATTCCATGTGTATTGCATGTGATTATTGCTAGTATATATAAAAGGATACTATGCAAATGTTGTTTCCCTCGAAATTACATTGGTTCATATTATATAAATAAATAAAAATACCATGCAAGTATTCTTTCCCTCTAAATTAGATAGATTCATATAATAAGAATTGATTCATATTATATATAAATAAAGATACCATGCAAGTATTCTTTTCTCTCAATTTGATAGATTCATATAATAAGAAATAAATTGACCTTCTTTCAATATTTGACTTATTATTTTTTACGAGGTGTTCCAAAAATGAATGTGATCACATGAGATGCATGTAAGGAGTCAAAGCAGTCCTAAAACTGGATGAATGAGTTAAATATGATAGGCCAATTTCCAATATATTCATAATTTTGTCTTTTCCTAATCTGAAATTTGGCCCACTTTAACTTAAAACCATGGACAGGCACATTTTTTTATATTACCTTTTTAATTTTAATTTTATGCACGATGGATTCATATGGTTAAACCAGTCTAAATTATAAATTTGAAGATTATGTGATGGATTAATTTCAACATATTAAAAATTGAATAATAATTTCATCTTTAGTTAAAAATTATCCTATTATTTGAATTCTCAGCTAAATTTAATAACTGCTCATTTTAATTTTCAAAATTCAACTTTGAGACCGTAAAAAGTTTTTTTTTTTTTTGAAAAGTATACCCACAACATAGTAAAAATAGTATTTATAAATTTAATTTGTTTTATAAAATAGAAATAAACTGATTATCATACATCATTTAATATTCAATTTTTTAGAAAATAAAAATAGTTGGTTTCCGTTAGTTTATTATGAGGTGGGATCTATCTCCAACCAAAAAATAATTTAATATATAGTTTAAATAATTAAATACCAATGCTGGTTAAGAAGTCGTGGATTTAAATTCATTTGTCATTTTACTAAAAAAATGTTACGAAAGTGGGACCAGATCCATCAGATTGAGGATTCACAATTCGGTATAACCAACTAGTATTGCAAAGTACAAAACTTGCCTACAGCCCCTTTTTTTTTTTTTAGTTTTTCTTCTCTTTTTTAAATTTTTGCAAGCGGGACCCACAACTGCACTTGGCTTGCAGAGCTAACTTTTTAATATTAAAAATTTATCAAATAATATGTATTTCTATTTTGGTGTAAATTATAGATCACCAATAATATTTAGGCATTTAATGATCTACATGTATTTCCCTAATCTTATTATTAAAAAAATAAGATCTAACCTTGATCATGGTCTATACTTAAGTAAATCGAAGAAAAATTATAAAAAAAGAAAAAAGAAAAGGTGAGAAATAAATTGAGGACATTGGAGGGCCACTTGTACTGGCTTGCAGTTTGTTTGTACTGTAAAATCTCATCCCACCTCATCCCTATGAACCTGTGCTTGTACTTTTTTGAAAAGTTGATTCTGCAATTGCATGTATACCATTGTTATCTCTCTTATCAAAGCCTCTATATAAATTTAAAGCACAAAATGCATATTTCAACAAGCAGAAAAAGTATCTCCATCCAAAACATCAGTATAAAATCTAGTTAGTTCGTTAAGATATGTCTACCTTTTCTATAGAAACAGACCCTTTCGAAAACGAAAGCTACCGAGAATTCTGCGAGTTTTGGCTCAGCCAGCAAAACCAATACCTCAAAGACCTCATCTCGGCCGCCGAAAGTCAAAAGAAAGACATCGCTAGTTGTTCGTCGTTGAAGCAGGAGCATGACGACGACAACGTCGATGCACTCATCGACATGGTTGTTCGACATTACGAGCATTACTACAAGGTGAAGTCAAGTTGGTTGGAACTTGATGCATTTCCCATACTGAGGCCCGCATGGAGATCCTCCCTCGAAGACGCATTCCTATGGCTCGGCGGGTGGCGTCCGAGCACGGCTTTCCACATGCTCTACTCCAAGTCGGGGATGCAGCTTGAGGCGCAGTTGCCAGAGATCCTCCACGGCCTCCGTACCGGCGATTTGGGTGACCTCTCCCCTAAACAAGTCCTCAAAATCGACGCATTAAAGAGGCGCACCATAAAAGAAGAGAAGGAGACCACAGAGAAGATGGCTAAGCATCAGGAGACGATAGCGAGTCCGTCGATGGTGGATCTATCGCACGTGGCAACCAAGTGGATAATGGAAGGAGAGAGAGAGGGAGAGCCAAATGGGTCCATGATGAGGGAGAGGCTCAAGTTGACACTCGAAAGAAAAGAAGAAGGTTTGAAAGAGATGGTGCAAATGGCTGATGAATTACGTCTCAAAACGTTTAAAGAAATCCTTCAAATTTTGACCAAAACACAAACAATCCATTTCTTGATAGCTGCTGCAGAGTTGCACTTGAGGGTTCATGAATGGGGGATGCAGAGAGATTCCATGAAACACCAAAAGGAGGAACACGAAGAATCATGAAATTAAAATATCTCTCAATTTAACTTAGCTTTTTTAAGTACTCTTTTGTCAATTGTACAAGTTTAGGATCTCGTATACTTTCTTTTTTAGTACAATAAATGTGGGGATCGGGATTGAATCACCGACCGATCTAAAGAAAGAACAAGATGCCTTAACCATTGAATCTCTAACATTGCTTTATGATCTCGTATTTATATCTTATAAAATGTAGTAATTTTAATGATGTGGATAGCGTGAGCCTAGACATATATTTTTGAATTCAAATCCTTACTGCATAATTTTTTTTTTATATATATTAAAGGTTATAAGGACCAAAACTTTTTTTTATGGAATAAAAGAAGTATTAAGTATCATATGCCTGAAACACGTGAGTCAATCATTCAAAATCAATCATGCTAATTATATTATATATAGAAAAAAAATTCTTTGAGGTGCATTTCGTTGGTGATTTGAAAACATAAATCTAGAAAATGAATTCAATAAAAAAAGAGTTATATTATGTGTATTCGTTGTTTTGGAGTATTTTTTTTGGTAGCAGGTTGAGAAATTGAATATGGATTTCATAATTTGTTGAAACGGTGTTTGGTAATCAATTCCGAACAATGACAATAAAATAGGTCTCTTAATAATATATATTATATAATAAGAATTACATTAAATTTCAAAGTCTGATTATAAATATATTAGCATATTTTAAATGGTAAATTTTAGATAATTAAAATTTCACAAAATTATATAATTTATAAATATTTCAATTTTTTATTTTAACAACAAACGGGGAAAATTTGGAGATGATATTGTATATTTTCATTAAAATTTTTATCTTATTACATATTGATTACTACTTTCTACGAAACATGTCTTCTTATCTCATTATTATTATTATGGTAACAAGATTAAAAAAATGTAACTTATTTACTGGATCTCATTTAATTATAAAAAAGAAAAATTAATTGGTTAACATATTTAGATTATATTAAAATTTATTATACTTTAATTGATTAAAGGCTAATTTTTGTTATAACTTATAAATTAATTATTTTATAATTGTGGTAATTTTATTAAATATATTTTTATTATATAATTCTTTACTAATACATGAAATTTATTTATAAACTCATTAAAAATAATGATACAACTTACCGGCTAACACTAATTTTTATTTTTTACCCCTAAATTTTGAATGCTTTTGTTTTTCTTTATTAGTGCTATAATTCCAAAAGAAAAAAAAAACTTTGTGTAATTTTTGTGTAAAATTCAAATTTACCTCTACAGAGTACACAAGGCACACAAATAAAAAAAATAAAAAAAAGAGATAAATAACATTAAAAAATAGTAATAATGAAAAAGAAGAAACTGAAATTTGAGGGGATTCCAAAATATGAAATTCAGGATTAGGAAACAATTTCTTCTTTTAAAAAATATTGAAAACACGTTTGTCGAGAAAAATTAGGAAATAAAATCGGCATAATTTGTTTGGATGTTATATAAGCTTGTTTGGTATTTTTTTTTTAATAAAGAAAATTGAATTACATGATCCACACCATGGATTAAACCTTTTTGTTTTTTCCCAAATTTCTATACAAATTTTTTAGAATGATCATTAAAAAAGAACAAACAAAAAACGTTGTTAATAGTTTTTAAGAAAATGAAGAAACATAAATAATAAACGAGAATATTATCAAATAAGCTCTATATTTTTAATTTTTCTATAAAAATTTATTGAATGTTATTTTTCTTAAATAAATTTTGAGATAATTTATTTTAATATTTAACTAAGCTCTAATTTCTATATAATTTTATTTTGTTGTTAAAAAATTTTCCACTTTGGCATACAATGATTTTTTTCTTATTTTTTAAATAAAATATTTTACTTAAATTTAAAATAATTTTAAAAAATTTAAAGACTCCACGATGATGTGTCATGTTTGATTTATTATATCAATGTTATGGACTATAGTTATTATTTTTTATAGCAAGGACTCTATCCTACACACAAATATAAATTCATTTTATTTTCAATAAAATAAAAAATAATATTATAAATTATAAGATATTATATTAGATAATTACGTGTCCTATTTTATTTTTATTATTAAGAATATATTATAAACAAGTTCTCAAATACATATTCAATAGTGAATATGTAGAAGTTATATATATAATAATCTAGATTCTGATTTGGAAAATAGGCAACCAAACATCACTTTTAAGTAATTTTCCAAATTCAATACCGAACGCAGCCTTAATTTTGCAAATTGTGCCACGTAATTAAAACTTTGAAATAACATTTTAGCAATTAAAATAGTGAATTTTATTGATTTTTTATTTTTTAGTACAATATGTGGGGAGGGGATCGAACTCACAAATTAGAGATATATTTCAATTATTTTTGACGTATGCTCGCTTTGACGAATTTTGCTGGTTGAATCAATTAAAATCTTAGGTCCTGTTTAGTTATCCAGAATTAAAATGGGAATGAATTGGAATGAAAATTGAGGGGAATTAGAATGTTATTTCATTATTTTTTAAATCAAAATAATATTTATCTGATATAATTAAAATGAATTTACGTCAAATTTAAAATATTTTTGAAATCTTAATCAAATTTTAAAATGAAAAAGATTGCTTTCTAAATAATGTGTTTTATTTTTTAGGTTGACTAAATTTATTTTAAAATAATTATTAGAAAAAATAACAACTTTTACTTTAAATTTGGTAAGATGTATCAATTTTTAACCTAAGGTATGACCTTAAACTTCGATAAAGTGTTGCAATCTTCACATTAAACTTTGAAACGTGTTCAATTTTACCTTCTTATTAGGTTTCATACGAAGCATCGTAAAACAGTTATCAATATGAAGTTACTCAGTAGTAACCATTGCTACTTGTTTATGCAAGGATATGCACAACAGTGTATTTCAGATTGCAGCTCGAACTCGGCCTCCGGACCGATCTGAATACTTGGGCGGACCTGCACAAAAAGGTGAGCACTCGGACGATCAAGTCAGTATAGGTCGGATTCCCAGTTTAGTTCGAGGTCAGAA